CCAATCAGGGTGCAGGGTAGCAATGATCAAACATACAACTTTCCTCTAGTTCTTTAATGTTTCCTCCCCGCCGCTATCATGATCCCAATTCTGCCTTACAAATCTGACTGGACCAGAGGATGTACATTGGTACAGATAGCAACCGGAAACACAGGGAATCCAATATAGATGACTCCTTCAGGACCAGTGGTGAGAGGGGCGATGCCTGGAGGGTGAAGGGAATATGGGGTAGAAAGGGGGAACCAATTACAAGAATCTAAGTATTGCCTCCTCCCTGGGGGATGGGCAGCAAGACAAGGGCGGAGGGAAACATCGGACAGGGTAACTTATGACAAAACTATAATAATTTATGAACTATGAAGGGTTCACGAGGGAGGGGGGAGTGGGGAGGGAGGGGAAAAATGAACAACTAATAGTAGGGGCTAGAGTGGGAGGCAAATGTTTTGAGAATGATGAGGACAACAAACGTGCATATGTGCTTGACACAATGGATGTATGTATGGATTGTGATGAGAATTGTACAAGTCCCCAATAAAAATAATAATAAAAAAAGAGGTGTATGAGCCCCTAATAAAACGATTAAAAAAAATCCAAGCCAGTTACCTTGGTAGTATTTAGGCGACTTCATCTGTAAATTGGTGATGAAAATTATGGTGATGAAAAACCATAAATGAACCTACTTTCTAGGGTGCTTTAGGGGATGAAGTGATATGAAACATATAAAGGTTTTAATACATGTCTTAAACAGTTAGTGCTTTCACTGTTGAATTGGTTTTATTTTGTAGGAAGAAAGCCATTAAAACCTAAAAACATTTAACCTAATTGATCCTTTATGCCCAAAATATGCCATCTCCTCTATATGAGAGGTGTATCTAAATGTGTGTGTGTATGTGTGTGTATGTGTGTGTGTGTGTGTGTGTGTTGATCATGAGGACTCTGCTGTGTCTGCATCCAAGAGATGGTAGAAGCCATCTTGTTATAAATTAATGCTACAGTTAGAAAACATTGTGGAATGCGTGTTACTAAAATGGTTTTCTCTAAATTCACATTCCTGGGCTGCTTTATTAAAATATGGCTTAGGGGTTGTTGCTGTATTATGAAAGTATTTCACAGCATTCTTATCTATGGAAAAAGGTAATATTTTATATATATTGAAATAACAAATATCTTAAATGTAAAGATTGATAAGCCTTTTAAATTCTTATTATTTTTAAATAGTTGTTGGCTTAAAGGAAGGTACAAAGATTTCCTGAATATCGTTCCTCCAATTTCCCAAATGTTAATGTGTTAAGCAACCACATTTGCTTTATCTCGCTCTATCCATATCTACAGTTTCTTCCTCTGACTCATTTGAAAGTATAATGGTGACATAATGCAGTTTTATGCTTAAATACTTGGGTGTGGGTTTCCTAAAAATAGAACATCCTTTTATATAACCATAGTTCAGTTAACAAAATCAAGAATTAGCATTAATATAATACTATCTATATACCATATTCAAATCCTGGCAGTTACCCCAATAATATCCTTCATTGCTGTTGTTAGGTGCCATCGAGTCAGTTCCATCTCTTCGCAACCCGATATGTACACTAGAACAAAAGACTGCCTGGTCCTGCCCATCCTCACCTTGTTGCAACCACTGTGTCAGTCCATCACCTCATGGGTCTTCCTTTTCTCTCAGCCCCTCCACTTTACCAAGCATGTTTTTTTCTCCCAGGGACTAGTCTCTCTTGACAACATGTCCACAGGATATGAGATGGAAGCCTCGCCAGCCTTGCTTCTAAGGATCATTCTAGCTGTACTTCTTCCGACAGATGTGTTTGTTCTTTTGGCAGACCATGATACTTTAATTATTCCTTGCCAACACCATAATTCAAAGACATTGACTCTTCTTTAGTCATCCTTAGTGATTGTCTAAATTTTATATGCATATGAGGTAACGGAAAATACCATGACTTGGATCAGGCACACCTTAATTCTCAAAGTAACATCTTGCTTTCCAACACTTTAAAGAGATTTTGTGCAGCAGATTTACCCAATGCAATCTATCATATGGACCCTTGACTGCTGCTTCCATAAAGATTGATTTTTGGATCCAAGCAAAACAAAATCCTTGAAAATCTTATTCTTTTCTCCATTTATCGTGATGTTACTGTTGGTTCAGTTGTGAGAATTTTTGTTTCCTTTACACTGAGTTATAATCCATACTGAAAGCTGCAGTCCCTGATCTTCATCAGCAAGTGCTTCAAGTCCTCCATACTTTCAGCAAGCAAGGTTTTTTCATTTGCGTATGAAAGGTTGTTAATAAGCCCTCATCTTATACTGAAGCCTAATTCTTCATATAGTCCAGCTTCTTGAATTATTTGTTCTGCCTACAGATTGAATAAGTGTGGCAGAAGGATACAACCCCGATGCACATCTTTCTTGATTTTAAACCTGACTGTATTCCCTTTTCTATACACACAATTGCATCTTAATCCATATGATCATAATGAAGGGTTCTGGAATTCTCATTCTTCTCAGTGTTTTCCATAGTTGGTTATGATCCAAACACAAGTAAACATTTTTGTGGTATTCCTTACTTTAAGCCAAGACCATATGGTGTCAACAGTGATATCCCTTGTTCTATATCGTCTTTTGAAGCTAACTTGGATTTCTGGCAGCTCCCTGTCAATGTACTTCAACAGCTGTTATTGAATGATCTTCAGTAAAATTTTACTTTCCTGTGATATTGATATTTGTCAATAATTCTGCAGTCTGTGGGGTCACCTTTCTTTGGAATGGCTACAGATATGGATCTCTTCGAGACACCTGGTTTTCCTGGTCTTCCAAATTTTTTACATAGATGAGTAAGTGCTTCCTGTGCTGCAGTGGAGTGTTGAAATATTTCACTGGGTTGTTCATATAGCTTTGGTTTTAGCTAATGCCTCAAGTATAGCTTGGCCCTTTTCCTTCAGTACCATCAGTTTCTGATTATATGCTGTGTCATAAGATGGTGGAATATCAACTAGTTCTTTTTGACTCTGTATATTCCTTTTAACTTCTTTTGCTATGTACTTTTTAGCAAAAATAAATAAATATATGTTTCCCCACCTCAATTCCATTTAGGACCACAAGTTGTATTTATTTAATCATCAGGCCTCTCAGTTCCCTGTAATAGTGGTCTGTAGTCCCTCCTCAACCAGGCTCTCCTCACCCCATGATAATTTTTAAGTTTGTAGATCAGTTATTCTGTAGAATGACCCACCATTTGTGATTGGACTCAGGTCATCCACAACTGACAGGGAAAGACGACCAAAGAGACATGTTGTCTCATAAATGGAGTGTCATAAACAGAGGCACATGTCATCTCCGTGTCTCATTATTGTACCAACATGTCTGAAGAATTGCTCCATGTTGTTACCAGTGGTGGGGTTGTTTTCAAGTAAATTGGTAGGCCTTCCTTAAAAGGCACTTTTAGGTGATCTCAAATCTCCACCCTTTGGATCAACAGCCAACCACATTCATTGTATCGCCCAGGAGTTACATCTGTCCCTGCAGAGGTAATGTGGATTAATGCTGGTCCCAGAGTTATGGTGATGTCCTTTGAGTGTTTCTATAAAGTTACTATATTTTTCTTTGTAGTTTTGAAATAAGTTTCTTGTGAAGAAAATATGCTGAGACTAAAGGAATAACGTATTCCTCATTAAACTCTCACTTGCAGGACCTTGGCATACTGAGTTTAGCACTGGGGTGCTAACTGCAAGGGTGGTGATTCATATGCACTAGCCATTGCAAGGAGAGAAAAAAAAATGAGGATGTCTACTCCCATAAAGATTTACAATCTCAGAAACATTAAGGATCAATTCTTTTGGGTCACTATGAGTCCTACTTAGCTCAGTGGCAGTGAGTTGAACTCGACTTATCTCATTCTTTGCCTGAAACTTATTACTCTGATAATTAATAAGTGGTGATTTTCTAATTCTATAACTCCATCGACATTTATTGAGGTGCCATTATACTTCACAGTCAGGCTTACTTTTCCCCTCTTTATTCATTTATATCAGAATGGAATCTTATTCTCTGTGTCATAATTTATGCTATTCTTATTCTTTTAATGCTTAAATTGTGCAAGGGTAGTCCCTTGGAGCTGACTTGTATGCCCGTAAGATTGGTCCCTGTCGTAATATGTGCAGGTTTTTACTTGGGGGATAACAAGATGTACCAGGCTCAACTTGTACTTTCCTTGCCCCGTCCTTGGAATCAACCATTTCTCCAAGGAAGTCCTTTGATTGGAGTGTTTAGAAAAAGATATGGGAAGTGGGTGTGTTCATTGCTTTTGAGGTGTACTTGCTTCTACACTCTCTCAGCAGACAAATGCCTCATGAAATGTCCTTCTTGACAATGAATGCAAAACCATTCCTCCGACTGTGCTGTTCCTGTCATAGTCAATGATACGATTTTCTAATTCAGAATGATCAGTACCAGTCCATTACAGCTAACTAATGCCTAGACTATCAATCTTCATAGATTCCGTTTCATTTTTAACGACTTTTCAATTTTCCACTTGTCTGTCAGTTTGTTGTAGTATGACGGCTAGTATGTTGCTGTGATGCTGGAAGGCATGTCTCTGGTATCTCAAATATCAGCAGGGTCACCCAAAGTGAACAGGGTTTGGTGTAGCTTCCAGACTTAGAGCAGACTAACAAAGAATGAATCGACTGTCCACTGCAGAGAAAGTAACCACTGAAAAGCCTATGGATAGCATCCAAACACTGTCAGTTACTAATGAATAGAAGCAGAACATTGTCCGAAATACTGCCAGAAGATGAACTCCTCAGGTCAGAAGGCCCTCAAAATATGACTGAGGAAGAATTGCCTTCTCAAAGCACAGCCAACTACCCTGACATGGATGGAGTTTAAAGCCTTTGGAACCTTCATTTGCTGATAGGCCACTACACAAATGGAAAGAAAACAACCACAAGCATCAATTAATCATTGAAACTTGGGATGTACACAGTATGAACTTTGGAAAATTGGAAGTCATAGAAAATGAACTGGACCACATAAAAATTGATGTCCTAGGTAATAATGAGCTAAAGTGGACTAGTGTTTGCCAATTTAAAACAGAAAAATCGCATAGTTTACTATGCTGGGAATGACACAATCAACAGGAATGGCCTGGCATTGATAGTCAAAAAGGACATTTCAGGATCTACCTTGAAGCACAATGGTAATGCTGCCTGTTCTAGAACAATGCTTAGCCACATACAATGAAATCCAATCAATAAAATTATTATTCCAATGTATGCACCAACCACAAAAGCTAGGATGCAGAAATTGAGAAATTCTACTAATGTCTTCAGTATGAAATTGATCAAATATACAACCAGGAAGCATTGAAAATTATTGATGATTGAAATGCAAAAGTTGGAAACAACGAGGAAAGAGCAGTAGTTGGAAAATATGGTCTTAGTGATAGAAATGAAGCTGGAAATCACATGATAGAATTTTTCAAGACCATTGACTTCCTCATCTCAAATACTTTTTTTCAACATCACAAAGGGTGACTATATACATGGACTTCTCCAGATGGCATACACAGAAATAAAATTGACTACAGCTGTGGAAAGAGATAATGGGAATGCTTCAAAGCCAGGACAGGAGCAGACTGTGGAACAGATCATCAACTGCTCATTTGTAATTTCAGGTTGAATTGGAAGAAAATTGAAACAAGTCCATGAGAGCCAAATACAACCTTGAGTATATCCTACCCAAATTTCATGCAATCTCCAGAACAGACTTGGTATCAAGCACTTTATACATGAAGAAAGTAAAAAGATGACAGGGAAGAAAGAAAAGATCTAAATGGATGTCAGAAGAGATTCTGAAACTTGCTGTTAACCATAAGAGTGGATAAGGCAAATGGAGGGAATGGTTAAGTTAAAGCTGAATATAAATTTTCAAAGGGCAACTCAAGAAGACAAAGTAAAATATTATTATGAAATATGCAAAGAGACCTAAAATTAGAAAACCAGAAAGGAAGAACACTCTGAACATATCTTAAATTAAAGGAGCAGAGAAAAATTCAAGCCTTACACAGCAATATTAAAAGATTTTACAGGCAGAATATTAAATGATAAAGGAAGCATCAAAAGAAGATGGAAGAATACACAGAGACACTGTAACAAAAAGAACTACTCTGCATTCAGCCATTTCAAGAGGTAACATGAGAAAGAACTGACTGAAGAAGGCCAGGCTGCACAGAAAGCATTAGCCCAAACCAAGACCCCAGGAATTGATGAAATACCAATTGAGGTGTTTCAGCAAGTTGATGAAGTACTAGAAGCACTTACTCGTTTTTGCCAAGGAATTTGGAAGACAGCTACTTGGCCAACTGATTGGAAGAGATCTATATTTGTGCCCACTCCGGAGAAAGGTGATCCAACAGAATGTGCAAAGTAAAGAACAATACCTTTGATATCACATGTAATAAAATTTTACAGATGAATATCAGCAATGATTGTAGCAATACATTGATTGACAGAAATCAGGACTGATTCACATCTTGGCTGAAAGCAGAGAATGGGAGAAAGATGTTTACTTGTGTTTTATTGACTATTACGTAAAGGCATTCAACTGTGCAGATCATAACGAACTATGGATAGCTTGAGAAGAATGAGAATTCCTGAACATTTAATTGTGCTCATGTAGAATCTATACATTAATCAAGAGGCAATTGTTCGACAGTTATTCAAAGAATTGTTCAAGAGACATGTGCGTCAGGGTTGTCTCACTTAATAGCAAATAGAGAAGCTGGATTATATGAAGAAGAATGTGGTATCAAGAATGGATAAAGGCTTATTAACAACCTGCATATGCAGATGACAACCTTGCTTGCTGAAAAGTGAGGAGGACTTGAGGTACTTAGTGATAAAGATTGAGCATGTTTTAGAATATGTGACCTTTTTGATCTGGGGGTTGGTTGTGGATTGTTTAATGGGTTCATTTTTACCATTTTAACTTTAATGAATTTTTAAGACTTAATTATGTTTTGGGAATATTAGGCTGTTATGTGTTTTAGATATTTTTTTCCTGGTTGTGACTTATCATTAGGTTTCACTTTTAAATTTTTTTGGTTCTGTGTTTTGCTTATGTTTTTATGCAAAAAATGTTTTTTTTTCTTGGGTGGTTTGATGTTTTTATTTTTAATGTGAATGGAATAAAAATTTCTCATCTTTTTTCTGTTTTTAATAAATCATTTTATTGGGGGCCCTTACAGCTCTTAAAACAATCTGTACATCCATTGTCTCAAGCACACTTGGACCTATGTTGCCATCATCCTTTTCAAAATATTTTCTTTCTTTTTATTTTTTTAAATCATTTTATTGGGGGCTCATATAACTCTTATCACAATCCTTACAATACATCCATTGTGTTAAGCATATTGTATATTTGTTGCCCTCATCATTCTCAAAACATTTGCTTTCTGCTTGAGCCCTTGGTATTAGCTCCTCATTTGTCCCTCCTTCCCCCTCCCCCCTCCCTCATGAACACTATAATTTATGAATTATTATTATTTTGTCATGTCTTACACTGTCCGATGTCTCCCTTCACCCACT